GAATGGCAGATCGCCTTTTGCAGAGAGCTGGGAGACTCCCTGTGTTTTGTTTTGTTAGATCAAGATGGGTCACCGTGTTAATCTGTCTGTAGCAGTAGGAAAGAGCCAGAGTCCAGGAGCCCCTTAAAGACTAACACAACTTGTGGCAGGGAAGGAGCTTTCGTGAGTCCCTTCTCTCTTCTTCAGATATAGCTAGAGTGGAAGTCCATCTGTCCTTGTGTCTTACAGAGTGGAGTGATTTCAGATGCCGAATTCGGCATCTTTCACTTGGCGTGTATCATGTCCCCCCACTTAGTCATCTCTTTTCTAAACTTAAAAGTCCCAGACTCTTTCCTTGCTGGGAAACTCCCTTACACTAAGGGCTCCGTGGAAAGGCTGCCACCACTCAAAGACACCCTGAGAACATCTAAATTGACCCACTAAGAAGGGGTTTTCTTCTCGTGCAGTACTAAACCAATACAGGATAATAACAACAGTAGTAACAGTAGTTGTAATAATAGTCATAATAGTATGGCATTGTGTGTAGAATAGCCAGGAGATCCTAAGTTTGTCTGGCAGCCAGACTTTTAGCATGATGCACCACTAGGTGGCGAGGTAGACTTTTTTTTAAGGCAAGAGACATTTCACATCCCCTACTTCCTGGTCCTTCTTTAACTGGAGCTGCTGGGGATTGAACCTGGGACCTTCTGCTCTTCCACTGAGCCACAGCTCCTCCCCAACACGTCAGGCAGCACCACTGAGGTGCAACCATTAATGAATAATAATAAAAATAAATCATAATTAATTGCTAGGATTCGCTCTTTACACTGTGAACCTTGTGGTCTGTTGAAATTGCTGAAATCAGATTCCATTTACACAGGCGGCAAACTGAAGAAGTCGAAGGAAACGCATCTTCCAAGTATCTAGAACGGGTGTATTTGCAAAGGTTGTTTGGAAAACCATTATGACTATGGGGACTCCTCCTATCAAATTACACTGACTACGTCTTATCTTCAAAGGAGGAAATATTATATCTTATGCATTATTATAGTTACAGCAAGGGTCATTTCCTGCAGGAGCGCACAGGAGCGGAGCTCCGGCAGTAAAGAGCCCAGGGGGCGGGCACATGCAACAAGCCCCACCCCCTGCTCCCAGCAGCCCTCAGTCAGAGCAAGAAGCAGCCAGGTAGGTTGCAGAGCTCCCCCCCCCTCGGCCCCCCAGTCCAAAACAGTTCAGTGGCACCTTTAAGTTTTATTCAGGTACAAGCTCTCCCTCCTCTGCGAGGACAGATCTGCACGTTCCCCCCCCC